GGTCTCCGACGGGCTGCCACGAGGTCGCTGCGACGCCGAGTGCGTTGACCCTTCGGCGGGGTGGCGGCTCGGAATTTCGACGCTCGTGCGCCGCAGGTGCTGGTAAACTACCCGACGGGGGTGTTGTATTGGCACCGTCGTTCCATGGTGCATCGCGTCGATGGTGGCGCGTGAATGGGATTGGCGCCCGACGACGACGTCGTCCGGTTTGGCCCCGCCACGCTGAGGCGCCATGCGCTGGGTCGTGCGGAGTTTTCCCATCGCCAGGTCGTTCCGCATGTCTGCGCCTTCGATGCCATCGACCCCCAGACCCTGAGGGGCGCGAAGCGGCAGGCCCAGCACCGCGCGGCCTCATTGGGGGGAGGCGATGCCGAGGACGCAGAGGAGCACGCGCGGTTTGTGGCTAGCGTGACTGATGCTCGTTTCGGGGAGACCGTTGACGGAGATCCCCATGGGGATGACGAGTGGTGCGCCCAGCTTGGCGATCGCGGCGCGCGCGATAGATGGGGGCCTCGCTTCGTCGAGCGGGCCCCCCGTGTCGACAGGGGCTGCTGGGGTCGCAAGTCGCGGCAAGGATGCTGGTGACATGCGAGTTCTGGCGGACCATCGTACGCGAGTGGGCAGAGGGTATGTCGTTGTTCGGGACCTTGTCGATTCGATGCATCAGGAAACGATAGCTGATCGGCCTAGTCAAGGGCCGAGGGCCTGCCTCGAGCACTTCCAGTCCGTCGCGCAGGGCGCTGGCAGCCCCCAGACCTACCGGGCCGAGCGGCAGCGGCTCAGCGGCGTCGCCGGGAGCGGCGCCCAGGACCACGAGCACCGATGACACCTCGTGGCGCTCCAGAGTGCGATCTGCCGCGATCGGCTGAACGCGGCCAACCTCGCGCGCTTTGCACATCGTTCGGAAGGCGATCCAGGTGGAGATGGCGGTGGAGAGGAGCTCGGGCGTGGAGGGCGCGGTGGCGGGACCTCGCGCGGCGAGCGGCTCGGCCCAGGCCCCGAGGCATCTCGAGCATGTCGCTTTGAGGCAGAAGGATCGGGCAAACATCCTGCAGCGGCAGCGTTTGCGCCAGGAAGGCGCGGCGAAGCGCCGCTCCGTCAAGGGCGACGGCGGGGGCGAGAGGGCCGAAGGGGCCCACCCACATCGGATGGCGAAGAAGAGCATTCCCAGTCGCCGCCGGGAGGGGGGGGGGGGGGGGCGGCGCCCGCGATGAGGGTCTGGCCAGGCCCGCGGGGGGCGCGCGCCGCCCGCGAGGGTCCAGCGGGCTGCCGCAGAAACATTGGCGGCTGCATGACCACTGGCTCCACGACGACCCGCGCCCGCTCCCGACGCCGCGCGAGGAGGGGCGGCCTGCGGGGGGCCCAAGTTCAACCGCGAGACGGTGGCACCGCGCATTCTGGGAGAAAAAAAGGCGATTTAGAGAGACGGATGAGGCGCATAACCTCCTCGCTGCTTCAAAGGCGAGTTCTCTTGATGGCAAGACTCGTCGCGCGCTCCTTCGCGAAGCGACGGATGGTGAGTGGCCCCTGCGGGAGATCATCTCGCCCGCCGACCAGCGCGAATTGGGGCCAAGACACCTGGCGAGCTACGACCCGGACAAGCTGGATATCGCCCGCGGCGAGCTGCGGCCTGTCACCGCGTCGGCCTTGCTCCCAGAGGTTGCGGCTGGATACTTGATGGATGCACTTTTGTGGCCAGGTGGGGCTGGCCGCGCCTGAGCTGGAGGCCCGGGCCAAATCCTCCGGGGGGGCCCCAACTCCGTGCTGGGGCCCGATTTTGCGGAGGGACGGGTTTGTTCGTCGTGATTTGTTCCGTTGATTGGCGACGGCTTGAATTGGATTCAGGATTCCGCGGGGCGATCCAGCGCCGTCGCGGCGCTCCCGTCGCGCGCGGGAAGGGCGATCGCATCGTGTCCCTGCGACGCCCGGCAGGCGAACCTCTGCCATCGGCAACGCCCCCGGCCCGCGCCGGGAAGCCCCGCTGCCTTCGGCGAGGTGGGGCTCGGCCCGCGGGCCGAGGGGCGGGGCGGCTACGGCGGTGCGCGCGCGCCGCTCGACCTCCACTCGTCGGGCCCCGACGTGAAGGATTGTCTCTGCCAGCTCGAGGTGGAGGCGATCGCCGGTCGATTCGGCTACGTTTGCCAGGCTCACTGACCGAGCACCCGCGCGCGCGATGACGATGCGAGGGGCTCCCGCGCCCGCGCGACCTGGAGAGCCGCTGTATCCCGCGATGCGGATTTCACCCACTGGGTGGGCGTGGGCGCCCCAGTTCGTTCCGGAGGTCGCGGCGACCGTGGTCAAGCGTGGGCGCCCTTGGGTTGCCGAGCCGTTTCTGCGTGACATGCGGCCAGCGCCCCCCCCGCGTCTTGGCCGCTCCGTCTGCGCGGTGCACGCGGGCGATTCCACGGGGCTGGGCGGCGGCGGGGGGGGCGCGGCCGCGGGCGTTCAGGGCTTCGCGGAGGCCGCCAACCTCGTCGGCCTGAAGCTCCACGTGCCCGATGGCGCGCTCGCCTAGCTGGAGTCGCCGGGCTTGCTGATCAGCGGGCACGGCAAGAAGCCGCGCCGCAAGCCTCCGTGCGCCTGGCGCTTCCACTTCGGGACGAAGGAGCTTCTGCGGCGAGGGCGGGCCGCGCCGGCTGAGCTGCGGGCATGGCCTGGCCGCGCGGTGCGCCTGTTCTCGCTCCAGCCCTTCCTCGCGCCCGTGCTGCAGGATGTCTTCACCTTCGTGGGCGATGGGCTGGGCGCGCAGTGGGCGCGGCTGGCCTCGGCGCGCCGCGAGTTGCGGTTGGCCGCGGCGCTGGTCTTCCTCGGGGAAGACCGACCTCGCCGCCCTTCGTTCACGTCGCCGACTCCTCGACGGGCGGCTACTGCCTGGTGCTCGGACGGAAGCCGGCTCGCGCGATCAGGGACGCCCAGCGATGGAGAGAGCGCTGGCGGTTCGTGGAGGTGGTGACCGAGCGCGACGATGCCCGTTACTCGAGTGCCCACCCTGCGCAGCTGCGGGGCTAGCAGACCGACGAGGAGCTGGGCGCCCCGAAGTGCGCGGACGCGCGGCTGCGCGGCGGCCGACCTGCTGGCGCGCGGGCGTCGACCCAGCTCGGACGGATGGTCTATGGCAAGGTGGGATATTCCAGGCGGCGCGGCGGCGTCGCCTCGGTCGCTCGCGCGCTGCAGCGTGTAAAATTGTTTGTGCTTGGGGGCCCTCACCCCTGGCTTCGCCACTCTGGCCCGTCCAGCGATCGCTTCGCAAAGTCACTCGAATTTCTAGCCGTCCAGGAGAGGGGGCGTTGGGCGTCTGTCATCCGTGGCTAGCTATGGGAAGTTGTCTAGGCCCAGGCTCAGCGTCGCTCAGCAGCGGACCGCGAAGCAGGTCTCGACCTCCCTTCCGCGGGCCTTCCTGCATTCGCACCGGGTGTTGCGGCAGCGTCAGTCCAGCAAGTTTTACCCTGGACCCAAGCGGAGTTTCAGGAGTTCGGGCACCTGACTCCCACAGCGCCTCACGCGCCTGAGCGCTGTTTGCATAACATTTCGGCCTCAGGCGCCTCGGCTTTGCATGCGTTAGCTGCTAGATTTAGAGCCGTGAAAGTTTGGGGCGTCGATCGAACGGCATCCGTCCATATGTTGGTGAAGGATCGCTACTGCGAGGCAGCCCCATCCCTTGCAAGTTGAGAAAGACAGCCACCAGGCACATCGCCCAACCTCTGGTAAAGCGTCTCGAAAGGTGCCTGATAATCAGACTAGTTGGGACGTGTGTTCTCGAACTCCGGCTGAAGCGCACCGCCGTGAATTCCGACCATTTTTCCGATGCTCCGCACGCGATTCGGCTCTAGGTTCTGCCATCCTGCGTCCACTGCCACCGCCCACCTGGGCACCTGACTCCCATGGCGCTTCATGGGCCTCAGCTTTGCTTGCGTACTATTCTGGCTTCAGGCGCATCAGCTTTACATGCGTAGTCTTTGATCTTCAGGGCCTGCAGACTCTTGGAGCTCGATCGAGCTGCGTTCGTCCATAGTCTGCGGGATGATCGCTGGGAGATACGAGGGCTTCGAAACCGCCCCTCTTGCCTGTTGAAAAAGACAGCCATCATACTTATCGTCCAGGCCCTGGTAAAGCGTCATGAGAGGTGCCTGGGAATAATCATACATTGACACCGGTCCACCGAAACAAGTGTGCTGGGAGGAAGAGAGGTACACGTATGTGCCCTGGGAGGCTCCACAGGGGTTCCCAGGGCCAAACAGGGACACGACAGGTGCACGCTCATTGCCACCCACGTATCGCTCCGCCATTCATTACCATCCGATCGTCGCGGGATGTGTCTTAATGTGTTGCGTCCCGCCCACCGTTTCGAATTCCGAAGAGTTGTCCCGTCGTAGCATGCATGCACGACGCCCGAGGTCCCGGCAAACAAGAACAACAACAGCTGTTTTCGGCAGGCCCCGATCCGATCCTGTCGTCTCGGTATCGATTCCTGCCAGCCCTGTCCGATTCGGCTGCGATGTTCGGACGACGCGATGCGGCCCGAGGCTCGCTGGGCCCAGTTGTGCGCCCTTGTGCGGCCGTTTCGATGTGCGACTCGGCCTCGGTTCCGTGCCGATGCGGCCGGATTCGACCCCTGTCCCGTTCCGACCCGATTTCCCGACTCGATGCTGATTGATCCTGCCCTCGCTTCATCGGGGCACGGGCACGTCAGGCCCCCGAGCGCCCGCGCGCGCGCGCAGATGCGGGCGCGCGGCTCCTCTGACGGCACGGCCCCCGAGGGCATCCGAGGGTTCCGACGGGCCCGAGGGGCTCCGAGGGGCTGCGACGTGTTCCGACTGCCCCTCCCGACTGCCCCCGAGGGGCTCCCAGGGGCTCCAGCGGGGGCGTCGATGCGAAGGGCTCCGAGGGCTTCGACGACGGCCGCCGACAGGCTCCCGGGGGCTTCGACGGGTCGCCGACGAGCTCCGACGGGGGGGGGCGCGCGCCGCGCGCGCGCGCCCTGCAGCGCCGCCAGCTCGCAGGCGACGGCCCCTTCGGGGCGAGCGCGGCCGTGCGGGCGCGGCTCAAGGCGCCGGCCGCGCCTCGCGCCCTCGCGTGCGGGCCGGCCCGCGCGCGTGACTCCTCGCGGTTCGGGGGCAACTCACCAGCCTCGAACCTATCCCTATCCCTAAGATTGACACGCTAAACGGAGATGACAATCTTATGGATACACCCTCAGAAACGGAGGAAATCCCCAAGATCGCCATCGTGATGAGGCGATGCCCATTATAGGGATAGGGATATGTTCCAGGCTGGTGAGCAACGATCGTCGAGAAGTTTGCCGTGCAGCCCGTGGACGCTCACGGTAATTAGGTTCACGCGGCGATGCCGCGCCGGCGACGCCGGCGAAGGTGTTCCATGTTGAGTTCTGCGACGCAGAAGCACCCGAGGGGACGCGGTGACGCGACGGGTCCCGACGGGATTCAACCTCGAACTCTCGGGGCCGCGATCGAGTCAAGGTTGAACGATCTACGTGGTGTCAAGAACTTTGGAGCGCGTCAACGCCGCACGAACCTACCGTAGGCGATGCAATCACACGTAAAGCTACAGAGGAAGGAAAGACTAACGGAATTGGAAGAAGCAAGAAGGAAACATCAATGACATGGAAAATGCAAGGATCCAGGAATCGGCATAGACACAAATGGTCCTCGTTCTGCGCGGAATATTCTTGGAGTTGGAACGGCGGTGGGCCCCATTGTTGGCATCTGGCGGCGGAGGCCCGCCAGGGATGGGGTCCAGCGCAGATCCAAGAAATTTGCCTGGATCTCGGAGAAATTATGGTTATGCAGTCTGTTTGTTCTTCTAGGTAGGGGGAAGTCATAGGTTGGTCCATCGACGATGCATCGGTGGGATCAGGGCGAAACATCGACGGTAAATGGGGCGGTCTGCATCGACGATGTATCAACGATGTGTGGGCGATGTATCGGCCGTTCGAGGTAGATGTGCCCCCTCCCTCTGCCTATCCCCATGTGTAGTTGCTCTTCATCGGTACTATCGAAGTGGTACGTACAGAATGGGGCAGAATCCCTGTCGGTGCCGCACGGATGGTATCCACCTTGAGACCCACAAGTCGACTGCTGAACTGCGGTCGTTGCCGGATTTGGACAGCATTTGTATTTGCTGGCGGGGTAGATGTCATTGCCCGGACCATGTGATCGTCTTGAATGTCATATCCTTTCTTATTGTGAAGGTCTTACAGCCGGTGCCGCCGACCCCGAGCAGTGAGCGCGAGGCGTCCAGGAGGCAAGGAATCGAAGAAGGGGAAAGCTTCTCCCGGGGCGGGGTGCTCGCCCACAGGCAGGGAGGGGGGTGGGGGCGGGGTCGACCCCTGGGACCACCCCCCTCCTGGTGGGGAAGGTATCGAAGGGAAGTGGCTTCCCTTCGACTCGATTACGACGTTGCCTGATCTCTCTCTGGCTGGGACGTTGGAAGAGGAGGGACCACGGACAGAGACAGTGGGGAGCGTTCACGGCGACAACGACGACGCCGCCGCCGACGACGACTCAAACGGAAAAGCCCCCCTCACGCCGACAGGGTCGGCGGCTTCCAGCACGTCCCTTGGCCCCCCACATGGGCCGAGCACGTGCCTCGAGCCGTGCCTTGCGAGCCCCCCTCTCAGTTTTTCAGGAGGGAAAGAAACACACAGACACAATGAATCGTCGATTTCCCAGAACATATGGGAAAATATGGGAAGTGGGGGGGAAGACAGAAGCCCAAAAAATATGGGAAAATATGGGGGATATGTTTATTTGTGTGCATTTGTTTGTGTGTCCCAGGGCCCCTCTCTGTCTTGGACCCTCCGCTCTTGCCTGGATGCCCCTGAAAGGGGTCGGGGCCTCTTGGGCCGCGGATGGAACAATCACGGATCCTCGCCGGATGCCTGGGGAAGGTGCCGGCCATCGTCGGCGAGCTCGGGGGGAACGTGAGGTTCGAGCTCGGCGAGCTCGGGGGGGCCCCCCGAGCTCGGGGGGACGTGAGGTGCCAGCCATCGTCGACGAGCTCGGGGGGGCCCCCCGAGCTCGGCGAGCTCGGGGGGCCATCGTCGGCGAGCTAGGAGAAGGCCTCCTCGGAAGGTTCGGGAGCCCCCTCGCGCCTTGTGAAAAGTTTCCCTGACTTTCCAGAGTGCTACAACATGGCGCACCGCACCTATAGATCTATCCTGACTGCCCAACCGCATCCCCCGGATAATCCTTAGATCCCCCCCTTTCCCACTGAGCCATGATTATCCACGGCCAATACAGATTTGGTCGGGGAAGAGGGGTGGCAAGGCTGAACTTGACAATCGCAGGGGAAAGTTGCGAATCGAAGCTGCTCTCTTCTTATGTTGAGTAGCAAGGATTCCTAAGGATTCCTATTGATTTCCGGAGGAATCCGATGGATGTCCCAAGAAACCCGATGGATTCCTTGAGGATTCCAAAGGATTTCTTGAGGAGTCCTCGGGATTTCCGAAAGGGAATCCGATGGAGTTCCAGAAGGAATTTCTACGGATGGTTTGAAGATTCTTCTGAACGTCCAGGAACATTTGTATCATCATCATCGTCATCATCTTCATCACTAAGTTGAGATCTCCGGGACACAATTCATTGTCTCTCCTGGATCCATTGGGCAGACTGTGTTAAAACCTCGACTGGAATTTGGGTATCTAGATCTAGGCGCTATATTTCAGCCCTCCCAAAAGGTCAGGGTTCGAAGCCTTCCCCGAATACGCAGGACTTCTCTCAGAAGGCGCGAGGGCTTCTGAAAAGTCCCGCCGTCTTCTGAGAAGGCCTTGTCCTTATCACTCCCGTCCCCGTCATCGAGAATAAATGAACCCCTAATCCTAAAACACACAGTCACGTGGCCTCACAGAGTTCCCTGTCTTTGCATCCGGGATACTAGATCTGGGTTGGTTCGATTCATCTGCAGAAAAGAGCCCCGATGTCTAATGCTTTTGGCCCTCCAAGCTTAGGTCCCCTCCCAAAGGGTTAGGGGTCTTTTTGTTGGTTAATCACCTCTCGCTCGCCGCCGAGACTGGTCACCCCTCGCTCGTCAACCGTTGCTCTGGTCGCCACCGTCGGCAGCCCTTGTCACCACGACTGGCTTCTCCGCGATATTCTCGCCAGAACGCGCCCACGAGATGTCTGGGAAGGAACGGTACTGGTATCTGTATGTTCCTCCAGCGGTTTGTTTCGGTAGCAAATCATGGGAGTTTGCATGGTGTTGCCTTTGAATTCCGTCTCTAGCGTCGACTAGCGTCAATTAGCTTTTTGAAGTTGGTGAGATAGTGCCGGATTAGCGTCGGTTAGCGTTTGTTTAGCGTCGAATAGCCTCGATTTAGCGTCGACTAGCGTCGATTGGCAAGAGCTGAACAGATGGTATGGGAGGCTCCTTGAGTTGCCACCGAAGTCTGTTGCCCACCCCAGAACTCGGGACGATCAAAATGGGCACGGAAACAAAGGGTACAAAGCCCGTCAGCAGTTCTTGTGCATTTTGAACAAGATTCGCTGTCGGCGTCGCCGCGGTCGTTACGTCCATTTGAGACAGAAGGCCGCCTACCCAACAGCGACCGCTGTCGGTTTCTGACAATGTGTGTTTTTTGGCATCGTACCAATGTTCTTCGTACCCGTTTCGGGCGTCCAAACCAACATGCCCATCGCCCCCGCACTGAGCTACTCGCAGTCCGCCAGCCATTCTGCGAGGCAGCGCTCTCGCCCGCTCCCGCCCTGGAGGGGCCGGGCCGATCGCCCCAAGCCAGTGCTCCGCTCCGTGCTTTTCCTCCCATGCAAATATCCCCTGATTCGGGATCATGCGTTGCGGAGTCGTGTCCCGGGAACCCGAGGAATGGTGGATTTGAGGATCGGGAGGATGGAAAAGGGTACGGAAGAATGTGCACAAAGACCGACAGCATGTTCTGTCCATTTTGAACAGGACTCGCTGTCCGCGACGCCGCGGACGTTGTTCTTTGGAGGCAAGAAGCCGCCTGCTCCACAGCGGCCGCTGTCGGTTTTGGACACTATTTGTTGTTGGGCATCGTCATTACCCATGCTTTTCGTACCCGCTCCGGGCGTCCAAAGGTGAGGTCCGAAGGCAAGGCAGCGATCACACCGTCGTGTGAGTCCGTGGGCATGCGGGGCCAGCGCGCAGTTTTTTGTCCCCGATGGTCTCGTCCTCCGATGGGGACCGCTCGGCCGATGTTAAGGCCTCCGCGGTCTCCCCCAGACCGTTTGGTGACGGACAGTGCGCGGGGAGGTCATGTGGAATTCCGAGGCCGCTGCACGGTCTTTCGCTGCAACGTGCTAGATGGGGCCCCCAAGATATGGGCACGGGCCCTCTCTCCGAGGAGGAAAAGGTACCCAAACCGCTACTCTTCGGCCGTTTTCCCCTTCTGAGGCCTCCTGGGATGCCCTCGTCGCCACCGTTGGATTCGCCTCGAAATTCTGGTCAGAACGCACCCTGGGAGAGGTCCAGGGGGTATCCGTATCGGTACCTTTTGGTTTCCCATTCACCACCCACCAAACCAACCCAATCCTACCCAAAGGCCCCAGTTTGCTATTTTTTCCCAGAGGGGGGCATGGGCGCCGGGGAACACGGAACGACACGCACATGTAACGCGCAGCCCCCCATCTCGAAATTTGGGTCTTCGGGTGTTGGGGTGGTTTGGTAGGTAATCAGGCCCGCTCCTGCGCGCGGATCCATCGCTCTCTGGTGGCCCGGGGCAGGGCACCAGAAGTCATTCGGGGGCAGCGTCACAGGGGGACGGGCTCCTCCTCCCTCTTTCCACCCCCGCCGCCATCTCTCCGACTCTCCCCCCTTTCTTTCCCCATCCGCTGCCCTCTTCTCTCTCCCTCGTTTCTCCTCCTCCCCCTTCTGTCCCTTCTCCCCCTTTGTCTCCTCTCTCGTTTCATGTTCCCCCCCTCGCTCCTTCGCTCCTCTTCCTCCTCCCCCTTCTTGTCCTCATCCTCCTTTCTTCGCCACCTCCCTTCTTCCTTTCTTCCCCCTTCTTCTTCTTCCTCCCTTCCTTTCTCCTTCTTCTTCTTCGCCTCCTTTCTT